CTTTACAACTCGACGTTAGTCCATACCTTTTAGGATTAATCACAGAAGTATACAGGGATAGAACTACTTATCTAAAAATCGGAAATAGACTATCAGAGCCAATAAAAGTAAATAAAGGACTAAAACAAGAATGCAGTATGTCATCCTTACTCTATTAAAGCAGCCCTCCAAAATTGAAAAAAACTAATGCCAGGAAATGGGAATCCCCATAGGAAATATCGTACTGTTCTCCCTGAACTTTGCTGATGATCAAGTCGTCCTCGCTCAAGATTCTTATGATCTAGAATTTAGAATATGTAAAATGGGGGTTACAAGTCAGCATAAAGAAAACATTAATTGATAGAGTATCGGCATCATTTATTTCACTTTGTATCGAGACCTGAAGATGCTTTGCATATTGTAGAAAGCGAAACCGGTCGTATGACAGTTAAATTAAATTGATTGTGAGTAAGTCTTATTTATTATTTCTTTACCTATTTGAAATGGACTCACACAAGCAACACATTCATGATTTACATAATATTTAGTTATCAATTTAGATGCAAGTAGCAAAATTTAAATATTTAGGTGCACTCATTGCTAAGAACGACATAGAAGAAAACAAAAGTAAATACCAAATTAATCAGGGACGTAAAATTGTAAAATGGCTAAACTCCTTATGGTGGGATCGCAACATTTCCAAAAGAAATAAAAAGAATAGAGCAAACCATCAGGGTAAAATAAGTTCTTTGTTATGTTTTATGTGTGTTTTTTTCTTCGTGTAATGCTCTATTAAGTCTATGAATTATCCTGTTAAGGTAGTTTTATTAGTGGATTTCTCGTTTGTTGTCATATGCGCCGAGCTCTTCTTTTTTCTGCTACCATTTCTCTTATATGAAGGGGGATATTATAGTTTTTTTGCACACTTCTTTGGCGCTGTGGTGTTACTTCCCATCCTGTTGTTTGTAAAACTGTTGTTAAATAGTCTACTGCTTTCTCTACATCTTGGTTTTCTTTTATCTTAATATCTAGTCTAATTTTTGTATTTACAGAATTTTGGAAACATCCCAGTTTGTTTCTTTAGTTGTGAGTTTGGGTGGTTGTGATGTTTTCCATACTATGTGTGTACTTAAAGTTATGTTAAATCGAAGTTTGACTCTATTGCACTATGGATGTCAGATATCCCTTTTGTTACAGCAAAATCTACCAAATCTGGAATTTTGTTGGCATCCGTAGGCCAGTATGTGGGTTCTCCCGTAGATAAGGATCTTAAGTTATTTTGTTGAATGATATTCATTAATGCTCGACTTAGGCGTGATTAATCTGGAACCCCATGTGGTGTGTTTGGCATTCCAGTCTCCTGCTACTATGAATTTGGATCCAAGAGTTTGTATGAAATCATGATACTCTGCGCTTGTAATTGGTTGTCTAGGTGGCTGTAGACTGATGATACACTGAGGGAGGTGTTTGTTTCGATTTAATGATTGTATATTGTGGTATATTTATTTTAACTCTCGGTGGTATTTACATAAAAACCCTTATTTTACAATGTTGTATATACTGTAGTTCAAATATTTCTTTGTTCAAATCACATTTCAAAAATATATCTCTCGAATAAGTATAAATAGCTTTTAATAACACAATAATATATTACATCACTTTCATTTAACAAACAATCACACACATATCTCTTCTTCATTGGATCAAATCTATCTCCTCAAGAACTTCCCGTTTACTGTCAAACAACTGCAATAATAGAATTGAATTCTCTATTCAACAATACATAGTAGTTTCAACCATGTTCTAACCATCCATCAATTAATAGAGTACCGGCATCATTTGTTTAACTTTGTATCGAGACCTGAGGATGCTTTGCATATTGTAGAAAGCGAAACCGGTCGTCTGATAGTTAGATTAAATTGATTGTGAGTAAGTCTTATTTATTATTTCTTTACCTATTTCTTTGTTGTTCATTTGAGGCTCGAGATCCACAAAAAATAATGGTAATGGCTCACGGCTCAATCTGTGTCTGACATTTATAACGTTCCTTAACCTTATGCCATTTTTCTGTATTTTCGCTTTTATTTCATCTATCGGAAAAGAGTGATGTAGATATCGAATAACTGTTATGTATGCTCTGCCTTCCTAAGGTTGGTATATATATGGTGGACAATATTTTCTTTGCGTACGTGATGTATTAGTTTTCTGTAAGATTCAGGTGTCTTTGGTAAAATTTTTATTGTGTTGTTTGTTAAGGCTTTAGTGAAGTAAGTTTCTACTTCTACTGCTTGAGCTAAATTATCTATATCATTTTACTATAGTCATTCACGCCATATATGAAATTTGGAGGAGGTTTTGAGATTGGTGGATTTTTATTCGTATCATTTACGGAGTTTTTCTGTGGAAGTGGCTGAAACCTATTTGAGAGTGTAATTGAGCTTCTTCTTTTCTCGAATCTTGACGTTTAAGCCTTTTTCTTTTTGATCTTATTGTTTGCCATGGATGTTTATTTTGAGATTCTTCATGTTCTTCATCTGATATCGAAGCATATCCATTCTGTGTTTCTGGATTATTTTTTAAGTTTACATTAGCTTGAGAGTTTGATGTAGAACTAAAAAAGTTGGTTTCCTGGGCAACCTAGGTTTCCTGGATAAATAAAAAATGATGTATTGACCAATAATCAATTTAAATATACCAAATTTCAATATGACTAATAACCCAGGCCAAGTGTTCTATAGTAAATGGGATGTTACTGATCACGAATCTGTACTTAGTTTTTTTCCAGCACGTCAGGTTTTCAAAAAAAGTGTGATTGAAACTTTTCATAGAAACTGTCATAGAGAAAATATTGATTGAAACCTTATTTAATATAAAATTACACTGCAAAATTGAATTGTTCTTAACAAAAAAGAATTCAGTATAACCTACGTTAGACAATATATGTTTTTTTTTAATAAAACTTTTTTTTTCCATAAAAACTGCATTATGTGGTCTTCTTTTTATGAATTTTTGTAATCGATTCTCTCTTCAAGGTCCAGCAGTAATCAGCAATCATTCTTATATCCCATCTTCCTTAGTAACGTCTCTTTGTCTCCTTTATATCTTGATATAAACTTTTTTCCAGTTCCTCGCGGACGGCTTTAAGATTCTCGGAAAAATAGTTAACGTGGGAATCCAAAAAATGACGCTTATATTGCATCCCATTTTTTTTTTTATAATTGTTGACCATGTTAGCTACAATTTCTTTATAGTTTGGAGACTTATTGTTTCCGAGGAAACCGTCTATGAATTCTCTGAATGAACTTTATACTTCAGATTCATCCTGGGTCATTGTATTCTGGAACAATCTGTCCGATTTTAAGGTTTGAATTTGAGGGCCTACAAAAATTCCTTCTTTCAGTTTAGCTTCAGGAAAATGCAGGCAATTTGTCGCACAGATATTTAAAGCAGTCACATTGTTTCTCTAAAGCTTTGACAAACTGCTTTCTCAATTCGTTAAGAGCAGGCAAAAGAAATAATTTTGGGTCAACTAGTGTATCACGTTGCACATTTTTTTGTCCAGGTACTACTCTTTTTTAAAGTAATGGCCACCCTTTCTTAACGTAATGTAAATTTCATGCTCGAGTGTCCCACTCGCATAAAAAACATGGATACTTAATGAATCTAGACTGCTGACCTAAAAGCATGGATATTATTTTGAGATCTTCACAAAGTTGACAACAATATTCGCTATACTTTATTTTATTTAGCAACAGCTCAAGATTCTCATATGCTTCTTTCAGATGCATAGAGTGAGCAACAAGCATTGAGGTACAAGTATTACTGTTGTGCAACAAGACACTCTTCAGATTTCTCTTATAAGAATTATTAAATAACCGCCATGATATAGAATTCTACCCTTGAGAAAATATGGTACCTTGAGCCAATAGATTTTTATCTTTTAGTCGTGATCCTAAGATTTGTGCATCATCCTTCGATAGGCCCAAGTTTCTCACTAAGTCATTTAGTTTAGTTTGGATAAACTTTTGGGGTTGGTCTATTTCAGGATTGAATTCATCTTAATCAGTTTTTTCGTCTGCACTTTCATCTGATGATTGCTATTGGATGGCGTGAAGAAAAGTTGAAGAAATGGGGATTCTTGGTGCATGAGATACAGGTCGTTTAGCAGAAGGTAAAACAGGATATTGAATTTAATGTTAATTTTTTAAATTGAAACCTTTGATATTGCAGGAGCAAACGTAGCAGTTGTCTCCATGGGTTTTTGGTTTCCTCCATACCATAGGAATGCCAAAGGGTAAAGAGTTACGTGTAGCTTTTGTCAATTTTCTCAGTAGTTCGACACACTGAAAGCACACTTTGTGTCGAGCCCAAGGTTTGTCCTGATCACCAAACTTTACAAGCACCAATAACGTACTTGTTTCCGCTAGTATTTAATATCTCACAAGGTTTTTTCAATTTTGTAAAAATTTTGACGTGATCGGCAGTATTGCCATTCAAATGAAATTAACATATAATGTATTCAAATGTTTTCTATCGATCTATCAAGTATTTTAAACGAAATAATTTTAATGCAATTTACGAAATATTGATAAGGTATTTGTTTGCACTAGATAATATATCACACGGTTTTTTTTTAATTTTATAAAAATTTTGACGTGATGGGCTTAAACCGGATTCATATTCAGAGTCAGCGTACCCATATTAGCTAAGGACACATGTCGTGTCAAACTCAAAACGCCAAAAAATCATGTCGGCCTGTGTAATTAGTTAGCACAATTACAATTATCTTCAGAAAACCGCCAAAAATTAATATTTTTCGGGAGAATCTCAAAATTCACATTAAGTTTGACAGTTATTTTTTACTTAGTTTATACAATAAAATTAATTTGTTAAATGTCTGACTTTTATTTAAAGCAGCACAATCTAGAGCACATGTTAATACATCACAGTTAAGTTTAAGGTAGTTGAGGTTATAGGCATGTCAGATATGTATAGGCATGTAGAATATAATAAGTACTTACAGTTCCTGTATATTTGAGGTTGGGCTCCATACTTTCGTATAACATTTGGGTAAGGGTAACATCTTTAACGACAAAATCACTAGATTGACTTTTCAAAATATTTTGGTGTTCACCAGTAACAATACTCCTTAAAAAAACTAATTTATTTTTCAAGTTTGAATACTTAGTTTGAAATAGCGTTCGTCTTATCACCGACATTTTTACTATATACAAAAAAATCGCTCGCGAGAGATCTCGATATTTACTTAGTTAAATCTTGTTTGAGTTTAAATAAATTATGAATTGTCTTATCAATAGTGATAAAAAGTGAAGGCAGGAGCGAATCTATTTAAGTTATCCGCAAGGTCGTAAAACTTATTTTTTTTATTATGATTTTCTAAGATTTTAGGTACGGTTTTCTACAGTTGATCTTTGAACGAAAGATCGAAGGAAGACCAGGCAAGACCAGCAAAGAAGTTCTTTCGGCTGCGAAACTAACGGCTCAACATCAGGGATGCCAACATAATATAAGATAGAAAAGAATGCTAGCTGATGGCCATTAACTTTCGATGAATAACGCACATTTAAATTGAGTAAGGAAACGTCCTTATGAAACTATAGATTTTATAATAGATAATAATACTACATATTTCATATCCTTCATCATCATTATCATCAGTAGCTAGACAACCCTTTCTGGGTCCTGGCTTGTTCTAGAATTTTCCCCCATTCTGTTCTGTTCCTTGCTTTGTGTTTCCAGTTGGTAATCTTAAGTGTTTTCAGATCTTGTTCACTTATTCCATGTATCTAAGTTTGGGTCTTCCGTTTAACCTTCTTTCTACTCGTGTTTGCCTCATTATATGTTTTGGGTGTTTCAGCCTCCAACATCCGTTTAACTTGGCCCATCCAGCAAAGACGTCTGATCTTTATGGATGTTATGACTTCGGGTTCATTGTATCCTGTGCATAGTTCAAAATTACATGTGTCTAAGGATTTTTCGTTTAAACGTACCTAATAGGTTCTCGTCGCTTTTCGACAGTGTCCATGTCTCTGATCCATATAAAAAGACCGGTTTTATCAGGATCTTGTATATATGTTGCATTTGGTTTTTCTTGTGATGTTGTTAGATCTTAAATGTTTAATTAGTCCATTATATGTTTAATCAGCGATCTGTATTCTTCTCTTAACTTCTTCATTGACTTTGTTATCTGCGGTAACTAGTGAACCTAGATATGTAAAATTTTTCATGCTTTCGATGTTATAGTCTCCTATTGTCAGATTCAGTAGATATCTTTGCCCTGTAGATTAGCTAACTGTAGATCATGTATTTGGTTTTTATTTATTTAATTTTTAGGCCACTGTTTTGTGCCGCTCTTTCTATTGCATTAAATGCTTCTATCACCTGTCTTTCGCTTCTAGCTATGATATCAACATCATCTGCAAATACCATTATTTGTACACTTTTTGTTATTATTGTTCCTCTGGTGTTGACTTTTGACTCCTAATTATTTTCTTTAATGTGATATCTAATAGAATACAGGATATGGTATCTGACTGCCATAGGCCCTTTCTCACATGGATTGTATCTGATAATCCCTCTAGTGGGATAATTACTCCGGTATTCCAGTTTTGTGGTAGTTGTTGGTTATTCCTACTTGCCACTGGGGTTGGTTACTTGATCTCCGGTACGGTTACTCAGGTTTGCCTTTATATTGCGCATCACTACTCTTTTGAACCCCAAAGAATGCTAAATGATGGCCACTAAATTCCGACGATCAACGCATATTTAAATTAAGTAAGAAAACGTTTTTTTTACAGCAGAAGCTTTTGTCATTATGAAAGCTATAGATTTTATAATAGAGAATAATACTACATTCTCCATAATTCTTACTGATTTTCTTTTAGTTTTAAATTGTCTTTGCGGATTAACTCCGCATGTATCTATAAAAAATTGATTTTTGTTTGGGTAAAAGCACACTCAGGCATCACATACAATGAACAAGTTGGCAAAGTAGCTAAAGACAGCATTCAGTTGGGAAAATTAGTTACAACCTTATTAACATTGGATGAGAGAATAAATACAGCCAAGGATAATTTATATCAAAAATGGTCTAAACAATACAGATATTAGATTATAAGATATACGATAAGATCTTATAAGATTCCTATAGCTGTTGGATGTACTGTAACTTCAAACATAGACTTAATCATATCTTGTAATCTCCTGCTCTTCTGATGCATACATACTGCCTAATTATTCTCTATTCTCCAAGCAACAAACTTACTATCTCCAGAATATAAAAAAGTAGCAATATGTACTGTTATGGATCAGCTTATCGATCAGAAATAGAGTAAAGAGTTTTTTATTATTTTAATATACCGCGGGCATATAAGTTAAAATACAACCCTGTACTTATTTGTAATAGTTAGAATAAGAGAAAACATTGTTCCGTGACGGAACCCTAACAAGTTTTTCTGTGAAAGACTGAGTGAATAGTGAAGGACAATGGAACCCGTATAATTATAGATTCAGGAATAAACTTGTAATTGTATTTTGCGGTGGGCATTTTTCGAAAGTAAATAAGAATTAGATTTAGATAAGAGATAACAAGAATTTGGAAACTTATTTCTGTTGAAAAAGGCAAAATTGTTAATGGTTTCTGAAAAGTAATTTGAGTGATAGTAGTTTATTTGTTTTAAATATCATGTTGGAAATTTTCTAAATCGAAAATAAGTGGGAAAGATGAATGCTTATGATTGGTTAAAAAAGAATGGTGGGAATGAGAGAGTTGAGAAGGTTGTCTGAGAGAGATTAAAAGAGGATTATGTTACCGGCAGACCAGAAGAGAAGACGTGTTTTCGTGTAGTCAATTTGAGTACCAGTGTTTTCGTTTGTTAGTAAAAAAGGTGGAAGCCGAGAGCAGATCAAAATCGAGAAGATTAATACCTCTTTTGCGTCTGCATAGTCCACGAGATATAAATAGAGAAAGGAAAGGAGAATTGGTGAATAAAGAGACCACAATATTTTTGCCCAGAAAACGCCCCCATGGGCGAGAAAAGTGATAAAACCTCTTGTCCTTAATCCCAAAATGGCTTATTATAATTATTCTTCCCAAAAAAATTCTTATGTTTTGAAAAAAATATGTTATTTTAATCAGAACAAAATTGGTCTGTTCAGGCTAAGATAAACCTAATAGACAAGACATTAATGCCTTAGTTAGTTTCTGGCTGCATGGATTAATCCTAAAATCAAAAAAAAAACTTTCCGATTATTCTAAACTAATTTACTAATAAAAACGAAACTTAAAAGTACGGACAGACGCAACAATATTCCTTCTTGTTCTTCTTTTTATATTGCCTACCCGTTATTGATTTTAGACACTAAAATGGCTATTTTGACTTTGTTAACTGCTGCCTTGAAAACGTCAGGTAGACTTATCAGGTTTTAGTGCCAGCCTTTTTTTCCTTGCATTGTCAAAGAGTTATTTGAGTGCCACATATAGTACTCAGTCCAGAAGATTACGTTCAAATATTGAGCGCCATATATGGTACTCAGTTATAACTTTACAAAACAGAAAAACCGTTTCTATGATTTTAGCCCGTAACTATATGGATTATAGTCCTTCTCCATCATATTGATACACGTATATCCACAACAGTCAAATAACAAGGCGTCACCCTATACTTGTTTTGAAATAAATAAAAATCTATTTATCAAAAATCTTCTGTAAAAATAAAGTGTCCAATAATCTCACTATACCTTTATTGTGCGTAACAAACGTCGGAATATATCCAACACGCTTATTGTTTATTATACACGGGCAATTCAACGACAGAATTCAATGTTTCGCAAAATAAATTAATGTAAACAGTAATTTAAAGGTGATTATTGTTTTCTATACAAGTTATCGCCTGACACAACAAAAAATACCTTCTTTCAACGAATTACTGGAATTACTGATAGGCTTCACTAATGGTAGTTTAAGTAGTTTTTATGCCACATTACAGCTTATGCAATAATAAAATTAGAAATTGTTTGCATCTTCCATTTAGTTTGTAGATGTACATTGTTCATTGTCTTACCTACCTACGTTTTTGGTGTCGATATTTTGTTATTTGCATTTAAAAATGACGGTCGACAACACGTTTTATCCGGTTAAGTGTAGTTTTAAAGGTGCCTTCAGTCTAAGAGAGAAAAATATAATATTAACTGTACACGATGCACTTGTACATCAACGCCCTTTAAGTAATGTTCGTGAAATCGTTAATATGTGTTCAAATATGATAGGGGTTGGAGATTTATAGATCCCTAAAAGAAAGAAAAGGAGGAACTGTTTTATCTCCCAAGAAGAGTGGAGGGAGTAAACCCTTGGAAATTGAAGAAACACATAAAAACATGTTAAGACGCAGCGTCCACTCATTTTTTTTTAACAAAGAATTTCCAACATTGGACACAATCCAAAACATTAATTAGAGTAAACGAAGAGTTACCAATCATAAGCAACAAGAAATTATGGGGACTATTGAAGAGATGGGATTCGTTGGCAAAAGAATAGAAGAAAATCCGTTTTATTTGAAAGAGATTACATTAATGAAGGTCATACTGTACATATCTATGGGTTGATACAAATGTGAAAAGTTCCCGTCAAGCATTCATCGAAGGTGTATCTACTGGAATAAACAATATTCCCGTTGGAAAAGGACGCAGACTCATAATAACCCATATTGGAAACAGAATACGGTTTGTCAATGGTGGATTATTAAGTGTTGCCTTAAAAATCAACCAAAGATTACCACGAGGAAATGACTGCTGACGTTTTTGAAGAATATTTTGAGCAAATGTTGGATTTAAATTCCAAAAAATTTGTCATAGTCATGGATAATGCTAGTTACCATTCAAGACTAGCAGAAAAAATTGCCAACAACAGCATGGAAAAAAGGAGAGATAATCGAATGGTTGGATAAACACGCAATTGAGTACAAGGAGAATTCGACAAAAAAGGAATTATTACCTATTGTAAAGCAACATAAAGCAGCTTATAAAAAATATATAATTGATGAAATGGTATTAAACCGTAATGTAATTATTTTTACGTTTACCCCCATACCACTGTGATCTGAATCCGATAGAAAATATATGGTCTCAAG